TTCTCTTTGTTCTAGCTGCTCTCTAACCGTGGGGATTTTTGAGGTGCAAACATCAGAATTAAAGTTAAAACAGAGCAGAGAGGGGTGAAGTTGTCTCAGGGTGAGGTGAAGCCGTGGGGCATCCCCCTCCTTGAGCAGGAAATTTTGGTTTTCTGCACAGAACAGATAAGGATCTCCCTCTGTCTCCAAGCTGGGGCTCTGGTATCATACCTTGCAGGTAAACTGATTTTTTTTTTGTTGTTGTTGTTGTTTTTTTAATCCTACAAAATGAGACTGAGCAGACACAACCTGCTTCTCTGCTTTCCCTCTCAAAGGCATGCTCAGTTTCAGGCCAGATAATTCACTCAGAAGTTTACAAAACCAGTTTTATTAGTGCATTTTGAAGTGTTTTGTTTGCTTTGTAGCTTCTGGAAGCAAAACTTGCCACAGCCTAAATCTTGGAATTGAGACCTCAAAAATGAGTCTAAGAGGAACAAAGTTCAGTTTTGTTGTATCTAAATCAAACTGAAAAGAACCTACACAGTGAAATGTGTGTGGGTTAAATGTTTTTAATTTGTACCTCGAGCTTTTGATAAGTAATAAGGGAGATGCTTTAAAAGACCATTTCCTTTTAAGTAGACATGAAGGCAGGAATGTGCCCTGGGTGCTCTTTGCCATCTCAGATTTTCATAAAATCTCCTTTATCACCAACCTTTGTTCCCTCAAGTGTATGGATTTTTCAGAATTGTCTTTTCTGCACTCTGCTGACCATGGGGAAAACCCTGATCTTGGAGCTGTTTGAAGTGTGTGTTAGTGGATGGGTTTTTTCCTTTCAGTACAACATTTCCTCTCAAAATCTTCAGAATCTGTGGATGTTCTCCACCCTTCTCAACACTGATCAGTCTGTCCTGTGTCCCATTTCTCTGGCCTGTGCTGAGCACCTCCATTTGCTCATGATGCTTTTTAAAGGTGTCTCAGCTTTTGATCCCAGAGTTACAGAACCATGAAATATCCTGAATTGGATCCACCAGCATCATCCAGTCCAACTCCTGGTCTTGTGGAGACATCCCAAAATCCAACCTTTTGGAGAGCAGTGTCCAAACACTCAGAACACAGAACCTTTCCCTGTACCCATCCTAAACCCCTCCTGCCACAGCTCCAGCCCTTCCCTTGGCTCTTCTCACTGCTGTTTCCAGTCTGTTGATTCCAAACTAAGCAGCACCCATGTCTGAACCAGCTCAAAACAGCAGCTGGAAAAGGAGGAGCAGAATCCAGAGAGAATTAAGTGAATAGTAATGCAATTAGGCTGATTGATTTACCCAGGGCTCTGGGATAAGGGCTAATGGGTGTCTTCCTCCTAAAGGAACCCTGAGTAAATCAGGAGCAGCTTGTTTTTCATGGAGCTTAGGTTAACATGGCCCCACACAAACACTGAGGATGATTCTGTGTGTGACTTTACACTGAGAGGATTTAGATCAGCTTGGGCAGAGTTAACTGTGGCCACTTGTATCTTTTAAAACCCTTCTTCACACCCTCCCTACCTGAAAGCCCATTTCTGCAGCAGGTAAGGACATGTTTTGGATTCCCTCTGGGAAGGCTGGGAGAGCTGATGAAAGCTGCTGAAAAACCCAGCATGCTGCTAAACAAGCCCCACCCTTCTTCTTCTTGACATTGTTGGATTCCTCTTTGTTCCCAAGGATGGCAAGGCCTGAGGATTTGCTTACAGTTTTTCAGGCAGCTTGAGAAAAGTACAATGACAGCTGGGAGGTGGAAAAAATGTGGGAATCTGCCTCAGAGTTTTCTCCTTCCCTTTATCCAAATCATCTTTGTGGAGAGCAGGCAAAAAGCCAGGAATTTATTTGACCCAAGGTGGTGTCTGGGATCAGGGAAGCAGTTATGAAATAAGTGGCTGATCTAGCTGGGTGTGCACGCTGGGCTCGTGCAGTCACTGGGGATTGGGTTGGCTTTGGCCTCTGCCAGCTGCTCCCTGTCTCCCTGGGCTGGGGTGCTCATCCCTGGCCAGCAGGGAGCCTGGACACTCAGCACAGCTGGAATCAGGNTCTATTCCTGTTGCAGATAACGGGACATGGACTCAGCTGTGGCTGGTGTCTGACTACCACGAGCACGGCTCTCTCTTCGATTACCTGAACCGCTACACCGTCACCATCGAGGGCATGATCAAGCTGGCCCTGTCTGCTGCCAGCGGGCTGGCCCACCTGCACATGGAGATTGTGGGCACTCAGGGTAAAAACTACATGGGGAAATTGGGAATTCTTGAGGGGAGGGTAAAGCAGGATTGCTGAAAGGAGCTGGTGATGGTGTTGATAGGGGTTTTGGATGAGGATCTGACTCCGTGTTTCAGAAGGCTGATTTATTATTTTATGATATAAATTGCATTAAAACTATACTAAAAGAATAGAAGAAGGGGTTTCATCAGAAGAATAGAAGAATAGAAGAATGTGCCCACCTGCACATGGAGATTGTGGGCACTCAGGGTAAAAACTAAATTGGGAATTCTTGAGGGGAGGGTAAGGCAGGATTGCTGAAAGGAGCTTGTGATGGTGTTGATAGGGGTTTTGGATGAGGGAAGAGATGAGGATCTGACTCCATGTTTCAGAAGGCTGATTTATTATTTTATGATATATATTGCATTAAAATATACTAAAAGAATAGAAGAAGGGGTTTCATCAGAAGAATAGAAGAATAAAAGAATGTGCCCACCTGCACATGGAGATTGTGGGCACTCAGGGTAAAAACTACATTGGAAAACTGGGAATTCTTGAAGGGAGGGTAAAGCAGGATTGCTGAAAGGAGCTTGTGATGGTGTTTGTCGAAGGAAGGGGACCAGGACACCAGTTGGTTCATCCCAGGCCCTCAGGTCCAGTCCGGTCCCTGAGGTCCTTCAGGTCCAGTTTATTAAAGAAAGTATCAAACACTTATACAGCAAATAATAAGCTTATTCTGTAAGCCAAGCAATCTATTAGTTAAACTATACCATGAACTCTTCCTCATTCCTTAGGGGTTACATCTCTTTTTTCCTGTCTCTTTCACTGTTTGTTATCACACTACAGCCAGGCCCAAGGACATGCTATCTTACAGGTGCAGCACTTGGAATTAGCCACGGTTTTGTACTTTTCCAGTCCTTAGCAGCTAAATTCCCAACAGGTGTTGATAGGGGTTTTTGGATGAGGGAAGAGACAAGGATCTGACTCTGTTTCAGAAGGCTGATTTTATGATATATATTGCATTAAAACTATACTAAAAGAATAGAAGAAGGGGTTTCATCAGAAGAATAGAAGAATGTGCCCACCTGCACATGGAGNGGGAGCCTGGACACTCAGCACAGCTGGAATCAGGAATTGTTGGGTTTGGGTTGAGCCTGACCCAAGGGTGGGCTGGGAGAGGATCTCGATCAAATCTCACTCGGATCTCACCCAGTTTGCAGGCCTGACTTGGGTCATGGCTGGTTGTCATCCCTGGCCAGCCCAGATTAAGCAGCTCCAGGGAGCCTGGACACTCAGCCCAGGTGCAATCAGGTCAGACAGTTGCAGGAATTGTTGAGTTTTGGGTTGAGTCTGATCCTGTGAGAGGATCTCGGTTGGATCTCACCCAGTTTGCAGGCCTGACTTGGGTCATGAGTGGTTGTCATCCCTGGCCAGCCCAGATGAGGCAGCTCCAAGGAGCCTGGACACTGAGCTCAGGTGCAATCAGGTCAGTCAGTTGGAGGAATTGTTGGGTTTGGATTGGGTCAGTTGGAGGAATTGTTGATTTTTGTGTTGAGTCTGACTCAAGGTTGGGCTGGGAGAGGATCTCAGTTGGATCTCGCCCGGTTTGCAGGCATGACTTGGGTCATGGCTGGTGGTCCCTGGCCAGCTCAGATTAAGCAGCTCCAGGGTGCCTGGACACTGAGCTCAGGTGCAGTCAGGTCAGACAGTTGGAGGAATTGTTGGATTTGGGTTGAGTCTGACCCGAGGTTGGGCTGTGAGAGGATCTCAGTTGGATCTCCTCGGATCTCACCCAGTTTGCAGGCATGACTTGGGTCATGGCTGGTGGTCCCTGGCCAGCCCAGATTCAGCAGCTCCAGGGAGCCTGGACACTGAGCTCAGGTGAATCAGGTCAGTCAGTTGGAGGAATTGTTGGGTTTGGGTTGGGTCTGACCTGAGGTTGGGCTGGGAGAGGATCTCGGTTGGATCTCACCCAGTTTGCAGGCCTGACTTGGGTCATGGCTGGTGGTCCCTCGCCAGCCCAGATTCAGCAGCTCCAGGGAGCCTGGACACTGAGCTCAGGTGAATCAGGTCAGTCAGTTGGAGGAATTGTTGAGTTTTGGGTTGAGTCTGATCCTGTGAGAGGATCTCGGTTGGATCTCACCCAATTTGCAGGCATGACTTGGGTCATGGCTGGTGGTCCCTTGCTTGCCCAGATTCAGCAGCTCCAGGGAGCCTGGACACTCAGTTCAGGTGAATCAGGTCAGTCAGTTGGAGGAATTGTTGGGTTTGGGTTGGGTCTGACCTGAGGTTGGGCTGGGAGAGGATCTCGGTCAGATCTCACTCGGATCTCACCCAGTTTGCAGGCATGACTTGGGTCATGGCTGGTGGTCCCTGGCCAGTCCAGATTCAGCAGCTCCAAGGAGCCTGGACACTGAGCTCAGGTGCAATCAGCTCAGACAGTTGCAGGAATTGTTGATTTTTGTGTTGAGTCTGACCCGAGGCTGGGCTGGGAGAGGATCTCAGATCTCACCCGGATCTCGCCCGGTTTGCAGGCCTGACTTGGGTCATGGCTGGTGGTGATTGCAACAGGGGCAGGCAAAGGGCTGCCTGGACAGGCACCTCCTGGAAAGGCTCCTCTGCCTCCACAGTCTGGTTCATGCTGAAATTGGATTCTTGCAGGTCTGGAATACTGAGTATGACTTGTGCTGTTTGCAGAGCCGGTTCTTCCAGAGCTTGAGAGCAGCTCTTGAAATGGAGAATTTAAAGAAGGTTTCCTTTGGTTCAAGCTTTAACTCTCTGTGGGTTTTAAGGGGTTGATCTTGTTTTGATTTCAGCTTTGACATGTCTGTGCTCTGACTGCAAACAAGCCAACTCCACGTGTGAGACGGACGGCGCCTGCATGGTCTCAGTGTTCAACCTGGACGGAGTCAAACACCACGTCCGGACCTGCATTCCTGAGGCAAAACTGATTCCTGCTGGGAAACCCTTCTACTGCCTGAGCTCAGAGGATCTGCGTAACACTCACTGCTGCTACTCTGATTTTTGTAACAAAATTGATTTAATGGTTCCCAGTGGTAAGTGGAGAGTGAGATAAATCATGTGTTTGAAGTGGGAGGAGAGGAGCTGTCTGTTTGGGATTGGGAATTTGGAGTTCTCAGCCTTGTTTTCACTTCTTCCCTTCAGCTGCTGCATGAACTTGAGCTCTGGGTTTATTTCCTTCATCTGTAAAGTGGAAATAACAAACTACTTCAAATTCAAATGGGAATGTGTGTGTTCCCTTTGTCACTGAGCTGGCCCTGCCTTTATCAGCTGGTGTTGCTTCCCTTCCAAGACTCCAAATCTTTTCAGTGCTGAGCACAAATAGAGGAACATTGCAGCAGCTCCAGAGCAAAGTGTGTGGGGAGGAAGGTGCCTGTGTTCAGAACCATGCAGGGGAAGCAGCCCTGCCTCTGAGTGAGGCTGTGGGAAACTTCTGCTTCTCATCCCTGGGACACAGAGGGCATGTGGTGCTTCCTCACACCTCCTACTTTCTGTTTTGGGCTGGTTTTTAGTGGGTGCTGGGAAGACTGCAGAGTCATTTTCCTTGGGAGCAGTGGGGAGGTCTCATCTGTGCTCAAAACAACAAATGATTGTCTTCAGGTTTGCTTCTGTAGCACTTGAAAGGAATCCCCAGAATAGATGGAAAGGCACAGTTTAGTGGTGCCTTTGAACTAGGAAGGTGGTTGGGTTAAAGAGTATAAGGAATTCTACAGCAGATGGAAAGTGTAGGAAAATCCAGAGAGGAAAAGAATGTCACAACCTGATATTTGAGCAGGTTCAGTTCACTGTTGCAGGGGAAAAAGGGAGCAGGGAGAGCCCTGGCCAGCTGGTTGAGTTCAAATACAAGGTGAACTGCAGAGTGTTCTGGAAAATCAGCCCAGAACTCCTGTCTAAGAGAGTGAATGAACAACCCACAATCCCTGATCCCACAAAACTTCTTTTTGAGGTTTCAGCTGCATTTTGCCTGCTTGACGATCAGCCCCACCTTAACACTTTAATTAACATATCCCCAGGCTAAAATTGCCCAGGCTCTGAGAGAGCAGTAAAACACTCAAAACTCCTCAAAACAATGATAATTTCCTCAAAATCTCTGTTTGTTTTTCTCTTCCCAAGGCCACCTGAAGGACAACGAGCCCCCGTCGAGCTGGGGCCCGGTGGAGCTGGTGGCGGTGATCGCCGGGCCCGTGTTCCTCGTGTTCGTCGTCATGATCATCGTGGTCTTCGTGTTCCACCACCACCAGCGGGTCTATCACAACCGCCAGAGGCTGGACATGGAGGATCCTTCTTGTGAAATGTGCCTTTCCAAGGACAAGACCTTGCAAGATCTGGTCTATGATCTCTCCACCTCCGGCTCGGGCTCAGGTATTGCGAGATGATGGGACGTGAGCGCTGAGAAGTTGCTGTTGTCTCTTTGGGCTGGTGGTTGCCACAGCTTTGCTGCCTCAGAGCCTGTTCAGGGGCTCTGGCATGAGGAACTTGGAAGGGATGTTTAAATTGAGTCTCATGTCTGTTCAGGTAGGAGCAATAGTTAAATTCCATTTTAACTGCAAGAGCAAAGAGCTGCATCTGTTCCCAGTTTAGCCTTGGAACAGGGTTTGCCTTGAAAACAGCCATGAACTCCTAACCTGTGTGTTGTTGGATGTCACCTGCATCAAAGCTGCAGGAAATTGGGGAAGATCCCAGCAGATCAACATTTTACAGTGCCAATAGTGCATTTGCACAGCTCATTTCATCCCAAAGAACCTTTGGGTCTTCCCAGGTGGGTGATGTGCAGTGTTTGCTTCTGTAGCACTGGAAAGGAATCCCCAGAAGAGCTGGATTTGTAGCTTCTGGAATTTGTAGCTTCTTTGTGTTTCCATATGACATTTCAAATGCTAAAACAACACAAACATGCTGTTTTACACTATAAATTCACAGTGAGGTTCAGGCTAGATTTAATGATTATATCTTTGCTCATGATACAAGTGCAGGAAAAAAATGATACCAGTCCTCTCCAGCAGATTTTATGAAATGAAATTCTCTTTTCAGGACCCCAAGCTTGCTCACTTCTAACAGAATATTTTGTTCAAGTTCTTTGATCTACTAATTACCATTATAGTAATACCACACAGCAAAGCCAAATATTATTTAATCCACATTTAAATGACAATAGGCCTCATTTGTTTCACTGTCTTTCCAAACACTGCAGAAAAGAAGTGTCCATATTTTGTATTAGTTCTTGATGCTTCTATCCTTTATTACTGGAATAATTTCCCTTTATTCACACTTAAATATGACTCCTACTTCAAATTCCCCATGTTTGCTTTTTTCCCCATGGAAAGTCACAGTTTAGTGGTGCCTTTGAACTAGGAAGGTGGTTGGGTTAAAGAATATAAGGAATTCTACAGCTGTAGGAAAATCCACAGAGGCAGAGAATGTCACAACTTGATTTCATTTGACCAGGGAATAAACCTTCAGCAGCACTTCTGCTGCTAAATATAAAATATTTGGGATCTTTTCTATGTATGCTGTGAGCAGGTGAGTTCAGTGCATTCTGTGAGCAATGGCAGCAATGTTGGGGCTCCTTTCTTAAGATAAATTTGGGGAGATTTCTGCTTTTTGGCAGAAAGTGACTTCAAGTTCCATTCTTTGCATATTGAGGCTGCAGTTTTGTGTGTCAGGGAGCAGAATTTCCCCAACTGCTCCTTGCTGAATCTCTGCTTCAAAGCAAAATTCAGATGCTGCCCAAGCAGTGGCACATCCCACACAGGAGCTGCCACCATTCCCTGCTTTGGGTCTTGCTCAGGCTTTTACATTTTATCAAATGTAAAATCTGCTGGGTTTCAGGACATTTTTCAGCCTCTGGTGTTTCAGGAGGTTTTTTGGTAGCACAGTGTAGGAATGTGCCCCCTGTTGGCAGAGTGACCAAACTGTCCTTTGTCTCCTTAAAAAGGAAAAAAGCCCAGAAGTTTCTCTCCTCAATGAGGTGAAAAGACCAAAAAGACCCCTCATAGGACCCGAGGGATTTCACCTCAAACTTCAGGAGAGCCAATGGGACAGGAGCCAAAAATCCCACCTGAGCAATTCACTAGAAAAAGAAGAGAGCAAAGGAACTGATTGCTTTTGTGAGGTGTTTTACCAGGAGCAAGAACCTCGAGTTTTCTGTATAAAGAGATTTGTTATTTTGCCTTTTATTAAAACTTT